GGGGGCAGTGTCTACACATGCCATTAATGCACAGCAATAATGATCCAGAGCTTATTGTTCCCAGGGAACTCCCAGGTGTGCCAGTCAGAGCAGCCCTGCCTGGCGAAGGGGTCAGCCTGCTAGCCCAGAGCTGCTCCAACCAGGCTCAACGTGCTGTGGAGGGGGCTTTGCACTTAACAGGAGAAAACTGCCCTATGATCAGATGCATGGTGTTCTCTATCGAGTAAGAAAAGTTTTACCAGTCTGTATATACACAAAGCTATTCAACACCACTTTGTCTTACTCATCATTAAATCCATAGACTATATTCACCTAACTGCTTATTTAACAATCTGCCCTACTACTGACATAATGTACACAGGTATGTTTGATCATATATACAGAGCACCTCAATTTACAGCTCTGATGACTTGTTCCATGACAGTGAACACAGCTGTAGTGCCTGCAGATGATTCCAGTTAGCTACTGCCAGCTCTGCATGCAGTAGAGAGTGATATGTGCCTTGACTCAGTTTCAGAAGTTTGAGGGCTGCTGGACTGGGAGGTTTCGGAAGGGCAGAGGATACCACTGGGAACCTTTAGTGGTATCTTTTTGTTGTTATCAACAGGAGACAGCGTACTGTCTTCTTTACTGATACTAGATAATTGCACTGGGTTTTGTAGCTCTATGTCATCACTCAACTCAGAGACAGACACCCATGTATGAATTATTGGGAACAAACCAAGGATCTGCTGGCTGGTTTGATCCCAAGCAAAAGTTTTATGTAGCTTGGACGTGCTTCTTCTCTTGTGCCATGTTGTTACGTTTGCAGTTAGCTGGGGCAAGATCAGCTGAGGGGTTCTCTCCTTGGAGCTTAACTCCTCCCTGCCTCAAAGTAGATTTGTTTTGGATCTAAAATATTGAGCAAGTCCAGTTTTTCTAGTGGCCGGTTCCGTAAGTCGAAGTCTTAGACAATTGCTCAAAGTGTAGTTTTAAAATCATTTTCCCCCACTTCTATTTAAAGTGAAATTCGGTCCACACCTTACCTGGCTCATTTTGGGCAATTCTTTTTCCATTTTAGCGTCTTTCTCTTTGGCTAAATCTTTAAGCATTTGCTTCAGTTGCTTCTGATAATCTACTGCTTCACCTTGGGTGGGGACAAAAAAGACAAAACCGGAATTAGGTCCAAGTCCTTTGCAGCAAATTCACAACTGAAATAAAAAAAGGGACTAGAGTAGGGAAACTGAATAATTAACCGAGCACTGGACAGCTCTTATATAATTTCTTATATTAAAACAGTAGCAGATAGCCGTGACAACACGTACCATTCGCTTTCCCAATTACTAGTGGCCTTGAGGTTGACAACAAGGGATTCTTCAGTGGTGACTGACTGTCTCTCTCATCTTCTGTGAGTGCTAGAGGGGGAGGAGAGATGACAAACAGATGCATAGCTAACAGATCTTGAAATATTGCAAAGATAATTACCTAAACTTTACAGCATTTGAGAGCTATGAGCTCAGCCAGCAAACTAATAGATACGTAAAAGGTGAAAGTTAAAGATTAATTATTTAAACTTGGCCTAGTTATATCAGAATGTAAAGTGTACTTCTATTAAAACAAGGCAGTTAGTTACTGTAGCAGAGTGGCAGGAAATGCTGCTCAAAGTAGCATATTCATGAAAGACGTTGCCCATCTTGTAAAACATCTTAAAACTTGCATTTCTTTTGAGTTAAACTGCAATGAAGACCTAACAGACAGTATCACTAATCCAGAATAAATGATTTAAGTTTAGATCACGCCTAGGAAAACAACAGAAATGAAAACATATTATCATACGTAGGGAGATATCTAGAAGTTTCACAAAGAAATAAGAGCTTATACTGAATAAGACCTTACAATCTATTTAATTGTGACTAAACACAATTAAAAGTTTATGAACAAGCTCCCAACTCAGTAACCTATAGTCTTCACTAAGCAGCTTTTGCTTCCCAAAACGTTTACATGGAGACTAAGGAAGAAAGGAAGGATGACTTTTTTTCGTTTCCAATTCCTTACCAGGTGGGATATGCAGCCTGTATAACAGCTTTATCTTTTCATTCATTTCTCCATTATACATAACATCTGCAAGATGAAAACAAATAGAAAGTGGACTGAATATTTACTTTGATAGGTTAAAATCATCAGCATTCTCCAAGCACAAAAGTTAATTGTTTGTGGGAACAAAGCATGCTGACGTATGGCCAGTGTATTAAATGTGTAAGTTGTGCCTGATCAACTGGTAACAGCAGGTGAGAACCAGCTGGTCTGTTCTTTGTTCTCAAAAACAGCCCTGGTGCTAACTTATAAAACATCATAATAATAATAAAAAAAACCAGGGCTAAGGTTCAAAAATACCGAATGTGATGCTGTGCAAAAGCCAGACGTCATGCAGTATACAGAGCTATATCAAGTTTCTCTCACCAGGGTCCACCATCTTAAGAGTTTCCCCTTTAGCCTCCATTACAGTGTAATAGAAAAAGCACTGTGAGAGTATGGAGAGCGCCCACATTTTTAATTGACTAATACAAATGAGTTTAATAGTGGGGAGTGTTTAGTAGTCATGGGATTTCATTCCAAGATTCATCCAGCAACAAAGAAATAAGAACACAAGTGCAATGCTGGGTCAGACCAATGTCCACCTAGCCCAGTATCCTGTCCCAGTAGCACAAGCAGTGCTTCAGAGGGAGAACACTGAACTAGGTATCTCTAGAGTGATCATCTCCTATTCACTACCCTCTCTGGCATCCACCGTTATGGGTTTAGAGATGCCAGAGGAAATGTCTCCAAGCATTCTGTTCAACAGCTATTAACAAACCTATTATCCTTTAATTTATCCTGTCCCTTTTTAAACCTGGCTATGCTATCTGCCTCCTCCACCTCCTGAGGTAATTAATTCCACATGGTAACTACACGTTGCATAAAAAAAAAATCTATCTTCTTCTTAGTTTTAAATCTGTCTCCTGCAGGTGCCCCCGAGTCCTAGTATTCTGGGACTTGGTGAACAAGAGTCCCTTGTTTACTTAGTTCATACCCTTAATGGATTTTATAACACACTATCATATGCCCTCTCAGCCTTCTCCTTTCCAAAATAAAGAGTCCCAGCCTTTTTTGTCTTTCGGTATGGCAACTGCTTCAGGCCCAATCATTTTGGTTGCCCTTCTCTGTACCTTTTCTAATTCTACCTTTTGGGGATGTGGAGACCAAAACTGCACATAGTATTCAAGATGAGGGTGCACCAAGGGTTTGTATAATGGCACAGTGACAATCTCCATTTTGTTTTCAATTCCCTTCTGAATGACGCCCAACATTTTATCTATGCCCAACATTTCCAACAAAAAATTAAACTGCTTCCTGCCAAACAGAATTGCGATTTATAATATGACATTCAAACAGATCCTCCCATCATCTTTTAATTCCAATCTACAACAAGTAAATCGAAACAAAGGGAAATCAGTCAAGAACAGAGATTGGTTAAAACCATGCCTCTCAACAGAAATGCATGCCTCTTGCTTGTGTTACATTAAAAGAAAAGCAGAGCATTCTTCCCAACATCCAGCTAGATTGCTACAAAGAGGCACATACCTAAGCAGCAAGCCAGCCCTTTGAATTCAATTAGATGGTCCATGTTTTCATCCAGCAGTCGGAAGGTCCTTTCAGCTAGGACTTCAGTGTGTTCCCCACATGTCCACGGCGAGACAAGTTTATAAAGGTTAGTAAACTGCTGATGGTCTAGTCTATACTGCTCAGCATAAGCTCTGCTTGGGTCATGTCTCTCAATTACTGGACTAGTCAAATCCCAGTAGCAGCTTATTAGATGTTCTCTCTAAAAGGAAATCAGAGGCAGTAGAGAAAAAAGCATTACAACATGTAATATATATTACAGACAGCATAATCCACGCTTATCAAAGTAGGGTGGCAGTATTGAAACTGCATTAATGTAGCAAGACCAAGATAATTCCAAAAAGAAAAGCCACTGTACTATAGTATTTCTTAGTTATCCGGTAGTTATTGCTATGAATGACGCACATGAGACACACATACAGAGTTGAGTCAATATTCATTACTAAACAGGCAACTGTTTGCACACGTCTAAACATGTATAAGAGATTACTGCATCTCAGGTATATATCTAGATTGATGTAAATACACTGGAATTATGAGCAGACACACATGCATCTTGTATGCTAGTGCCTGACTATTAGGTGGCAGGAAGCAGTTAAAGAGCTCATCTGCCGTAAGGAAACAGCTGTCCCAGGTAAACTATACAGAGACACAACTTTACCAGTGTTATATTACCTCAATTTTCTGAGAAAATAGCCCTCTGTCATTAAGTAAATCAGGGGTGTCAAAGTCATTTAGGACCTAGGAACTTTTTGCAGGTCAGATAGCCGATGAGTGAAGGTGGCAGAGTTGATGCCTGTGGCTACCAGAGGTCTATACACTTCCAGAACCCAGGGGGTTAACACAGCCATCCCCAACACCCTTCACTTCCCATGCTACTGATAGGAGTCACAAATGGGGATTAAAGATTCAGTGGTGAGCAACAGGGGGGGTTTGGGGGAAGTGGCAGCAAGGTCAGTGCCCTAGGTACCAAAGTTGTGTTAATGCAGAAGCTCCAGTCACAAGCCCCACAAGCCAAATCCAGCTCACAGAGGCAAGTCATCTAGTCCACAAGAAGCCCTGGGAGCCGGAAGACCCACTTCAACAGACTAGTGGCCCAGACGTTTGACACCTCTGAAGGAAGGGGTTGCATATCACCTGTCACTCCTTGCTTAAATCGCTCTACATGCTTCCTATGTCCAGGTTCTAGATGAAAGGAATACTACGAAGCTTTTATGATTCCTCACTCACCCGCTCCTTTCAGAGCGCCCAGAAGCTGGGAAGTTAAACAGAGTAGAAATAAAGTCCTAAAACAGTCAGAACCCAGACAACTCTGAATGAATGACAAGCATCAAGGTCAATTTTCCTTAGCTGTGTGGGTCCTTAAGAGTGTGAAACAAGGTTTTCGGTACTAGTTGCTGAAGAGCATGGGTTGTGCAGTCAACTATACTATACATTGTGAAACTGGAGGTAAAAGTTGTTGGAGTATAATAGAAGCCAATCTCACATAGCTCTTTCTTGGAGTGCAGTTAGAAAGGAAGACGACAAGGCTCAAGACCTGATCTAAGCCCCACTGATTTAAATGATTGTTTCTTTTGCACTACACCAGGGGTCGTCAACCGGGGGTACGCATACCGCTGGGGGTACTTGGACCAGTCCTAAGCAGTACGCGTGGGCAGGCAAGGACAGAGCGCCACTGCCTCCCAGGAGCAGGGGCAGGGCAGGGCAGGGCCAGGGCAACAGCACCTCTCTGTGGGGGTGAGAAAGCTCACGCGCAGCGGCTGCTGCTACCACACACCAGCCTGGTGAGCTTCTCCGTCCAGCGGAGGGGTGCCGCTGTCCTCACCCCAGCCTGGTCCCTGCTCCTGGGAGGTGGCGGCACTCCATCCCCACCTGTCCGCACACCGTCTCTGCCTCCCCTCTCAGTGCCTGGCCACACACTCCTTCCCCTCCCCTCCACCCGGTGTCCAGCTGCGCACACACCCCCACCCCCAGCATCTGGCCCCCCCTCCATCACTGCTCAGCATCCAGCTACCGGGGGTACTTAGACTAAAAAAGGTTGAAAAGCGCTGCTCTCCACATTCCAAGCGAAGAGCTGGAGGAAGGAGACTGTAGGGCAAAGTTTGGCATCTCATCCCATAACACCACCACCAATAAAGGGAATTCCTGCTGCTCTACATTTACGTCCAGTACAAGCCCAAATAATGGCCAGCAAATTTAATCCACAAGCCCGGCAGTTTTTTTCCCCTTCAGCCCCACATTTCCTGGGCACACCAACCTTAAACAAGTCATACAATTCCTCCAAGTCTTCAGGAACAATTGAAACATCTGGGATGACAACTCTGAGCTTAAAGGGAAAGAAGGAGAAAACATACTGGTGGTGAATACAAGCAGTACTGGCAGATAAGCAAGCACGTGCCCTCCCACACTGCTGTACTCTGCAAGAACGGGAGTACCGGTGATTTTATGCCTCTTCCCTTTCTTTTATCTTCCTGAGGGACTTTATGCATAAAGCCATAAAAAAGCACTCACACTCAAGATGACGAGAAAAAGGGCAAAAAAGCACCTGGTACCTCTTCTCCCTTCACTAAGTTAAATTAAGAGTCAATTGTTAAAAATCATTAAATCCTACAACAGTCTACATACCACATTTTGCTTGGTTGTATCCTCGTGGCTTTGTAGAACACGAATCCTGTGTCTATAGCGCATTTGCTCAATCTGATCCACAGAGTAGTCTCCAAATTTCTAGAGTACAGGAACAGATTTTTAATCAATCTGAAAATGTAAACTTCAAAGTATTATTAGTCCTAGGGAAAATGGGGTTTTTAATGCTATATTTAAACATCCAGCTTATCTCCTTAAGTACTTCTATCAGGCCAATTGCTGTGGTATTTGAGAACATCATTCAAGGAGTTAGTCAGTAGATGCTTAAAGTATGAATCTACCATACATACAACATCCTATCATAGTTTAAATCCCACACAGAAATAAACTTTTAAAATGCTTTCTGAATGGAAAGTTCAGCAGATTCTCATTTTTATTTTACCTCGTAGGAGTCACGGATCAGGTCAGCTACTTCTGTCACTGCACAGGGTTCTTGATCATCACTGAAAAAGGTGTGGTGATTTTTGAAAGGTGACAGAGGGCTTTCTTCATTTTTAACATGGTCTAAAAATCTGAAGGGAAAAACCGTTATATATTCAGATTACTCAGCTGCGTATTCTTTTCAAAGCATAATAAAAATAAGTACAATATTCTGGTTTGGGTCCTAGTGGAAATATACTGATTTTCTATGCTTATATACTTCAAAATGCCTCAGTTATTACTCTAAGCTGCAGTGTAGCTAACGACTAAATACAGAAACCTCCTAAGGAAGAACAGTTCTCACCTCCCTGATGCCTGAAGCAGGAAGTGCCTCACTCCAGGGAAGAAGCAAAGAGCAACGGTAAATACTGAACACTGACACAGTCCATGCAACCCTCCAGCACTGCCAGGAAAGGTGCTGAGGAATGCATCTAAATCAGATTTTGAAAACAGCAGCAAAAAGCTGAACTTTTATTAGAAGCTTGTGCACATGCTCCAGAACATCCTTCCCTTATGGTCAGCACACAATCTATATTTCTTGGTATCACATTTTAAGGTAAGACAATTTGTAAGTCTGGCAACACTACACCGTGAGACAAAGGAACGTACCTGCTAAGAATCATCAAGGCTTGCCCATCATCCTTGCTGTTACACAGCTCCACTGCATTAGCCTCAAGAACAGCCAAGCCTAACTGGAAGATGGCTTTGATTCCGTCGAAGAAAAAGCAGTCTACAGCATTCACAGCACTTTCTAGAGGCATGATGCTGAGAAAAAGGGTGAGGAACCATGAAAGGGAAATGGAACTGAGCGTGGTCAAATCTTTCATGTGTTCAGCCAGTTCTGGAAGTCGCTCTTTTATAAGCTCTTCAAATGCCGACTGGTCTACCTGAGCACCTGTAAATCATGATGAAATTGTATTAAAACAGGGGTTTAGGAAAGCAAAAGAATTCAGAATTTTTGTTTAGCTGCAAATCATAAGCTGACAAATAATTAAAAATGTATATATCTGGAACACCAAGATATGCACACGTCCAACGTGAGTAACCCACTGTCCTGCTGATACGAATCCCATTCCTGCCCTTGGCATCACATCTACAATTCCTATCGTAAACTCTTCTGTATGAGGACTGTGTCATTTTCCATTTGGACTTCATACTGTTTTGGGTGCTATAAGATCATAATAGCAGCAGCTGCTGTTTTCTGGCTAAATCACACATCATAGCTAAGTACTAGCAAAAACAATTCCGAAAAAGCTGTATTACTGTTCAACTTGGGATCTATGCAATAAAAAGAAAGCAAAGCAAGTGTCCCTCTGGTGCATGTACCCAACGTACATATTCATCATCTAAAAACAAAACGAGCAGCAGAGCTTCCATACTAGGCTGGAAAATGTGTAAGTCCACCTGAAGGATGGATTTAGGTGCTCCACAACAGGTATTTTAAGAACATCTACCTTGTATCATGCCCCATGATAAGTTTTCCTGTCCGTGTTAAAAGCAGTCATTTCAGCAGAAGCACACTTAGGCCCTGGCCCAGCCTCTTAGAGCGGTGAGAAGCCCCACCGGAGTTAATGGATGTGCCTATACTAGCAAAGAACCATGTGAGGGAGCACTGCCATGCAACATGGCATACCCGCTCCATGCAAAATAGGTACATTTAAATTAATGAAATAAATAATGCACTCAATGCTCTGAAAGAATGCAGTGTAACCACCATTAGTGTGGAGCTGGTCATGCACCAAGCACCTTCTACCTCAAATACTGATGCACCATATTGGGCAACTACATTACATCCTTTTAGAGTGCAGCACAGCAGTCTCACTGTGCTCATGACTGTCTACATTGGGGCTCTCCCTAGCCCCATCCTTGGACCATGTGGGCAAGGTACCAAGACATGCAGCTTCACATAGATAGCATAACTCATGGCAGTGAGACATGCAATACAAGGCCCTTGCATTAAAGACGTTTACTTTATACAAACAGCCATTAGCTTTGCCAATCATTTTCTGCTCTTTCCATGACACACTGATGCATGGTCACTCAGAACGTCTGCTGACCAAATGCATCATTCTGATGGGAAACCAAACGGTTCAGTTACCGTTTGCAAATTCTGAAGTACCAGATGCAGCATTTGTCCTCCTGAGCACTGACTACATTGAGTTACAAGGAGATGTGCTAGTGGTGGCAGGACAGAAATTATGCTACCATTATGCTGAGAGGAGAATTCAAAATTGTAATAATTTGAGTGTTCAGAAACATGCTAAGATTTTCTGGAGGACCAATATAGATGGTGTTCCTACCCTGAAGAAGATACCCTCTAAACTCAGTCATGAGTTATCACCAGAATCATAAACAGACAAAAGCAATAGGGAGAGAGAGAGAAAAAGGAAGGACAAGTAATAAGATCTCCTGGTGGCTTGGCAAAAGGTGGCTTCAGCTGGGCAGTGTAAACTAAAGCTTAAGGGAGCTAGCGCTCAGATATAATGAGAGACACTGAGCTGCTAGAAGTGATTCGAAGAAGGAAATGATAACTTGGCACAGACATGTAGAGAGGGTTATGTAAATTCAGGGTCAGCTTGGATTTGGGTGAGTACGGTATGTCCCGGTATGGGCCAGATTGTTTGGACGTAAAAAAGGCGCCATGGCCAGATGAGAGGAATAGGGTCAGGAGCTGCACCAGGTAAGAATCACAAGATCATATTCCAGCGAAGACCAACACAAGGTGGACTTCTATGAGATGTCAAAAACACAAGTTGAGATTTTGAGAAAGGAGACAGGTCTGGAGTAGAGAAACAATTTGGATGTAATCAGCATCAAGATGCTAACTGAAGTCTTTTATCTATAGAAGAGGAACAAGTTGACTGATTGACAGGATATAACCAACATCCAATCCACCAGCCAACTGGTGGTGTCACTAAGCAACTTCATTTAATTTTACTAGCAGATTTCTATGGCAGCACTGCTTTAAATTTAAGCTTACGCTTATGTTCAGCGATATGATGATGCAAAAGCAGACAGATAAAATGACTACACTTAAAAAGAGAACTTATCCAACACATCAAAACACAGAAGTATACATGTTCCATTTCAAAAAAGGTGGAGGAAGACAAGAAATTGCAAACAATGAGCTTTCCCCCCTCCCCTAGGAGCACACACCTAAAATTACTGTGTAAAATAATCTCTTTAACATTTTTCCAGCGTGCATGTGGCTACATGTTCTGCACAAGTAACTTACATATGCATTTCTAGAAGTTTAACCTACTTATACTGCAGGGCAGCTAGACAGACTCCAGATGCAGTACAGGGCATAGGAGACTGGAAGACTTAAAGTTATTTGCCAATATTGCATGTACATGTGAAAAATACTCTGAAATTTAAGAAACAGCTAGGGGTTTGATATCTGTTCTCTCTCTAGTGTAATTTTTGACTCAAGCCTATATGTCTTCAACATCCAGATAAAGCAAACATAGTTACTAAAACAGATCCTTCCAAACAGCTATGATAGTCCAAAATTGGCAAAAACTAAAACTGTTAAGATTAGCAAGTAGTTATCTTGTGTTAAATCTGTCACTGATCTAATTAAAAGCAGACAAAAAGCACAGCACTTCCCTAACCAGCCAGGCTGTGGACTAATAACTCTTGGGCAAGTCTTCTAGTATCTCTGATAACACATGCCCTGAAACTGATATGGAACAGAGCACAAAGTGGCCTCCACACAATATATAAGTGGTGTCCTATTCACACATGGCATTTTGGACCATTCTAAACAAAAGCAAAATACCAAGCACTTTTTCATGCCAATGCCACCCAGTATTTTAGCCACCCATTCCCGGTGTCATATTTTTAAGAAAGAATGGAAGAAAACAATCTTACCGATCACTCGGTGGTTGAAGTAATCTGGCAGCATTCTCTCGCACACTGCAACCAACAGCCAAAAGGCTTCCTCCTCTTTGGCATACAGCAGTAAGACAGATGTCAAAATATTCATAGACTTATGAGGTCAAAGAAAAAAACATGGAATTTATTAGTTACAGCAACTAACCTTTCTCTAAGAGCTCCTCAAATCGGGGCTGTGTTCTAAACATAATTTCGTTATGTATTTATGTACCCCACCCCATGTCTGATGGTTTCCCACTGCCTTCAACTATATAGAGGTAACAATTTATGAAAAAAACTTAAAGGATAATATAAAGTGAATACACTTTTAGCAATTTAATTGAGAGTTAAGCCACAGGTGGCTTTGCATGTTCATACATAATATTTTCATACAAGCAACACAAACCAGCTATGAAAAATACAGAGTTCTACTTTGTTAAAACACAAATTGGGCATTTGGTTGCGTCAGACCATGATTCTCCTGCTTGCAGAGATGGAAGATAAATAAGGGGGAACTGTTCTGTTCCCTGGTCAAAACTCAGGGAGCTGGAGCGAAGACCGAGAAATTATTGTAGCAAATTAGCTGGTAATTACACTGCACTGGTACTCTATATTCCGCCACCCAGTTGGAAAGAGGAAAGGAGACTTTCAGTTCGCCAAATACTTTTCACAGATCCCCTGTACAAAGCATAATTTTGCAGAACAGATTGCTTTGCTCACTTGCTAAGCACTGTATGAGAAACTTGTACTCAACACACTAGCAATAGGAGAAGCAAAACTCTGAATTCGCAAGGGGCACACATCTGTGCAGTCAAATGGTGCCATTTGTATACATGCATTTTTCAAAGTAAAGGGTACTTAATATGTAAGCAAAATATTTTAAATATGTAGGAAAGTAAATTATTTACACCAAAAGCATTACTTTGAGATGACGATACTCTGAAATAATGATAAAAGCAAGTGGAGACTCCCTAGAAAAATAAAAACCTGTCACCATGTGCTACTGCTTACCTGACAGTATCCTATTTTGGGGTTCCTATGTGCGTAAGCCGTCAGGACTCTCCTCAAAGCTGCTATCCCCGTTTCACTCTGGAAGGTAGGGTGCTCAGGCAGTGAGCGATGCAGGTCACGTTCGATCTCCTCTGTTGCTATGCAACACTTGCCCATTGAGGCCTCTACTAAATTTTCATAGTAACCAGGATGTGAAGCAAGATCAGTCACAGCATCTGAGAACAGCAGTAAGAGGAAATGCCAAAGGAATTAGGATGCTTTTAAGTACAATTTGTTAAAAGGGAAGTATCAGTCTAAAAAAAAGTGTGTGGAGAAGCTGTTTACTTCCAGGTCCGTAATATTAGGTACTACATACAATTAGTGAAGCCCTGAACCTAAATGCAGATAAAAACAGTGGAGATGATTTTCTGAAGTTCAACAGTCCCCATGAAAAGAAACAGGTATAATTAAAGACTAAACAGAAGACAAAAATCAGGTTGGGATTGACTTTGTACTATGCAACATCCCCAGGTAAAAGCATTACTGGCCTTACATATACACACCATATCCACACACACTGTGCACTGAAAATGTTTAATGTGTACTTGGGTTTCAGACAACCTCAAGATCACATTATATGGAACAATGCTGTCCAAAGACGGCAGTCAGCAACGTGGCTTGGCCTTTCCTATATCTAGTTTCTACTACTCCTGCCAACGTTCCCTGAAAAGCTGCAGCACGGGTGACTTCAAGATGCCACTTAATTTGCAATAATTAGGTTGAGCTAAGCTTAAATCAATATTTATGCTGCAATCTAATTGCCCCATCATTAAGACATGAAGGCACTTTATACCAATTAAGTTGCTGAAATAGGTGCTGCTATTTAAATATTTCTGTATATGACTGAATAATTCTAACACACAAATAAAAATGTCCTTATTTTGTCCAGCCAGGTAGGTATCACTGTAGCAACTGAGCAACCCTCTACTGCTCCCATTCAACTAGAGTATATCATGTACCAAAACACCTGAAGACGTTTCCCCTGTGCTGAAAAACTATCTGGAGGTTTCACGCCTGGCTGGGAGTTTTGCGGTGTTCAGATGCAGATCCTAGCTCCTGCCAACGACCTCTACAGAGTTCTCACCTGAAAAGAGGAGCCAGAGTTCACCTCGTAAAGATTCGGGGATTCCCATGGCAACAAGCTTTCTGATCTTCTCTGTACGAAACATACATACAGTTCTGCCATATTCTGCAAAATGATCATTCCACAGACTCTCTTTTACTCTCTCCTTGAACTGGAAACAAAATAAAAAGCTTTAAAAAAAAAAAAAATACGCCCCATGTTTTTCAAGGCCTTGTACATAAAAGAAATTCAATCCTTCAGATTTGTCCCTTTCATTAGTGAATTGTGCATCATGGATTGTGGAAGCAGGCATGGGAGGTCTGCATCAAATGGGCAAATCTTGATCCATTTTGCCCTTGGGGAAAAACTTTTGCAGTTCCAGCACTCAAGAGCAGACCGGCGGAACCCCACTATAGACCAGAACCCAGCTCAACAAGGACCCCTCTGCAGCTGGAAAAATGCAGAAAAACAAGCACTATGTGCCACATTTTCTTCCATAGTTCAGAGGTTCCCAAGCAGCCCCTTCCAGGTTTACCAGCTGCCTGCATGCCCCTACCAGGATATGGTTGATATTTTAACCCCTTAAATGCCAATTATTATAATGAAAATTAAATCCACCATTACACAATGCCTCCCATGTACACCCCAGACATGTCTTGCATACCCCCGGGGCTACGTGTACCACAGTTTGGGAACCCCGGCCATAGTTCACGTTCTCTATCATTAAGAGGCCAGAAGTCACAATGACTACTCAACAATCAGAGAGCTAAGCGGGATGCAGCAGCTCTGTACTCATCACTGACTCTGGGCAACAGTGCAACCCTCACTGCCATGGACTGAACCAAAGGGCTGCAAAAAAGCCTTCTAGGAACTTACAGTACCAAAAGATGAGGCTGTTAAAACCAGAAATGATTTGTTGTTAAGCATTTGATAGGGATAGTTTAGAAAAAGCATCCCTGCATTCATGCAGGGGTTGGACAAGATGAACCTTGGAGTCTCTTACAACAATGATTTTACTAATGATCACAAAGAAGAAAGCTAAAAACTTATTTCTGCACAAAAGCAGCACTGACATTTTTAGGCTCTGCAAATCAACTGGGAGTTTGGAGGGGATATAAAAATCAGCTCTGTTAAAAAAAAAATTTAAAAAGACCCAAAAACTATGTCGCTAGGGCCTGGCATAATACTCTGAAATCTTTGTTTAATCTATTAGGTCATAATGAAGGTTGCCATTACAATTATAGTACAATATCATAGATGATAGGCAGTAATAAAACAAAGTCCAATAAGTGTCATTACTGCAATTAATATATACAAACATATGGTCCGGCCCCCATCTATCAAAAGTTTTTCCTTAATGAAGATTTAAAAGTAAATAAAAAGGTACCACCTGTTTTCTTTTCATAGCATCATTCAATAAGAAAGACATGATGCAGAGAGACAGCTTTGGGGGTAGAGAGTGGGGGGTGATAAATATAAATTTATAAAAGAAAAACCAGCCAGGGGAGGAACCCAACATAAAAATGAGCTTACATTTTAAGCTTACACACATACACGCGCATGCAAGCACTTAACCTCGCCAGACTGTCACTGTATTAAAAACGGAAAAAAAACCTATTTGATTTTGTTTCAGTTGCCACAGCTGTCACATGTTTTTTTGTGCATCATACTGACTGAATATACTATGCACCTTGTTTTTGAAAGGCAGAATGAAGAAAAAAGGATCTTTCCTTTTAGTAAACTGAGTAGCAGCAGCTAGAGAGCAGAGCCTGCTCGTGTTCTGCTCCCTGTTAAGAGGGGTGCAGATTTTACTTTCATCTGTAAATCGGCAGAAGCTATTCTCATCATATTTCTCACATATAATGCACACTACTGTATTCAGCAGCAGTTTTATTGAGGGGGAAAAGTGTGTGCAACGTGGTACAAAAATACTTTAATACCAAAAGTATTTTTTACAAAAATATTTTGTTTAAGACCTGGTCATAATCTTACTTCACAGCCGCATGCCACTTTTACATACCTTCCTGAACTCTTCAGTTCCTGGCTGAGCCACGTTTGACCTCAGTTCCTCTGAATTTAGCAAGTGACCGCCGTCCTTTCCACCATCATTTCCATCGCTGTTTTGTGAAGCCACTATTCCTGTACTGTCAGACTCACAGTTACTGAACACAGACGTTGAATGAAATGTGGGAGAGGTCTGCAATGCAGGATTGAAGAAAAATTTCAAAAGGATAACAAAAACCACTCCATATTGACAGTGTTCAAGGCAAACAATAGCCAACGAGAACTAATAAAGCTGAACAACTCTGCTATAATCTTGGACTACATTTTTCAAACTTGGGCTACTGAACTGAAGTACTTAAATCCACAATTTGGCATGCCAGTAAGTACAGTCCATTGCAGTCACCGTCACCATTTGGTTGAGCACTTGCTATCAAATAGCTGGAGTCTAGCGTCACGATTTTTGGAAAAGTAGACCAAATGAAGAGTTCTTTTCTATTTTGTTTCATAGCCAAGTTAGCCAGCAGCTTTTAAGACTGGATTCTTTCATAGCATGGCATTAGCTGGCACACTCAAAGGTTTTAACAAGCTACTCCACAACAGACACATACAGATAGTTCTGGGACTACCAGGGGAAAGGTTGGAGAAGGTCAGCAACTGGGTGGGAAGGGTGCCCAGGACACTGCCATGGGAATTGGTAATCCTGGCAGCCAGTCAAGATTTAGCTGGGGACAGGCCAACTGTTGACCAAATAACTAGCAAGTTTCCAGAGTAGAGGAAATAGTTATTTAGCTAATTGTAGGGTGAAGGAAGAGAAAAAAAATTAAATCTGAGAGGCAGGTTGATTTTTCAAGGATAAGGGGCACACTAGGAAATAGGCAGGCTGTAGACAGTGTCACATAGAGGAATGGGTAAGGGAGAAAAAACAGAGAGCAGAGTTGGAGAAGCCTGGGATCTCCTAACAGGCAGGACAATGGCAATATTTCCACACCTCTTGCTACTAAGAAAAGGAGAAAACATGTGGGAGATGCTTCCTAGAGGCATGAGAGCAGAGAAACACAACAGAATGTTGTTTTCTGAAAATGCAGGAGTTGGAATTCACCACCACTAGACTTTTCCCAGGGCAATAAACTTTGGGCAAGGTTATCTGAAGGATGGGGTTTCTCAGCTTCTAATACTTTTAGCTACACCCCCAGTCAGTATGCCCTTCAAAAAGGAGCATACTGAAATCTCCCATCATTCCTAAGAATACCAAGAATGCCCTGCTCCCTCCACCTTCTTTTAGGTAACTCCTAGCATCTCAGATCCTCTTGTGGATTGTCCCAAGAAAACATTTTGAACTATAAACAGCTATGTTTTCAGGACATGCTTGCTCATCTGTAAAATGCTCAAAGCATAGGCATCCTGACAGCTTGTAGAAGAACAATAAGAAAGAATTTATTATAGTTATATGTATTCAGTCCCTACCATATCTGACTTAGCACAAAGGAATAGCCACATGATACAAAGAAATAGTTACTTTAAAACACAAATTACTAGTAAATGGCACTAACAACAAGCTTCTGACCAATTTTCTGCTCCAGTTAAAATTTTGAATGGAAGGATACAGGATGACAGACAAATAGCCAAATATCACCAACGAGCAGTGTGCGATACAAAAGCTTAGTACCGTGTCCTTATTTTTCAGGCTGTTGTAGTATACTGGGTTGCCAGCATTGACTTGCTTTAGTCTCTGAAGCAGGTTCTCCACCAAGCTGTCCCTGTCCTTCAGTTCAATGAACTGAAAGGCCATTTTGCTCCTTATACTAATAATGATTGGATGAGGGAGGAGGCTGGTATCTTCCATCTTCTCGATGCTGACCACCTGTTCCAGAAACATAATGCAAAATGCATTACCATCATCCCCACATTCACAGCAATGTCTTGATACACTTGTTTGCATGTTGAAATGTACAAAATGGCACATATTGCTACCACTACTCAAGACTGCCTTTTCTTGACGAGACATGTCTTACAAAGCAGAATTCTGAAATAAAATTAGAGAGATCAATAATTATTTCACCTCCCTGCTTCAGTCTAAGGTCTCCAGAAAATCTCAGCTACTACCACTAATGATTTTGAAAGCTCACTTGAAAAAAACTTAAAGGGATCCAAATTAACAAAACTCCTGGGTATCTGCCCGCTTAACTTCAATCCTATTTAAGTGTCTTGGACTAGACACTCCTTACCCCTCCCACAAAACAAAATTATCCAAAATCAGAAAGTTCTTTTGCAAACCTTCCCCATCAACTTTTTTTTGGAGGCAATATTGAATACAAAAAAATTAAAATGAGAACTAGAATGGGATCAGCACAAGCAAATTCTTAAAAAATGAGGAATTTTAGCCCAGTGGCACAGAATTACACCATTAAACAGAACTGTTGGACACTCAGCAAAATTAAAAGCTTTCACCCTCAATTACATACCATATAGCATCTACATTTCATGTACACTTTCAAAGACTGTCACCGGAAGAGAAGTCATTAGACTCAGGATATCATTTGGGTGTTGTGCTATTGTTGTTTGAGCCCCAAAGTCAGATCTATTAAGCAATCACAACTGAACACACACTGATCAAAAAAAGCTCAAAAAATAGGCAACCTAAGAGTTTGTAGAAGAACAATAAGAAAGAATTTATTACAAATTAGTTAGCTGGATTCAGTAAAGTTTCTGAATTAGTACAAAGGAGTTGAAATATATATAAAAAAAACCCCAAAACAAACCCAAGTCATATGCCACTCTAGTACATTAAAAAATAGGTAACTAGCAGTGTAATTTGCTATTAAAACGGAGACAGACTAATCAGAAATCCTGACATCCTCTTATTAACTGAAAGCTAGACCATTTGTGGTGAGTGGAAAGTGCCAGCCAGGGATTCTGATGAAAACAGAATACAGTTCCATCAGACAAACACCAATTTTGGTTACAAAAATCTGTAGGTAAAAAAAATACAAGTCACTGAAAGGACTTGAATATCCTGTTAGTATGTTATAAAATATGGGTGACTGGTGAACTAGATTTTTTTAAAACAAGGGTAGTTTCTAAACAGGATCTGTAGCATGAATCCTATACCATAGGCACTGGATAGCCTAAAATAAGGCAGAGACTGGAAACTCCATCCCAAGTCTCTTCTGTATCATTCTGTCAGGTGGGGCAACACTCAATGCCCCCACTGTCAAACAGACATGCATCTGTTGCCCCCTTTATCTCCTCCCCATGAATACACCCTTGCAACCTATGCAGATCTGTTCTCCGGAGACCCCAGCTCCTGGTGTTCTATGACTTTGTGGAAGGATCATAGGCTTGGTGGGGGAAGATTATGCATAGTGTGTGCCTATATTCATTTATACATAGAGTCAGAGTCAATAACAGAGGGAACCATGTCACTGTCATCCATATCTCTGTCTGGCATCCAGCAACACCAAACCCCAATCTCTGCAGACTTTTAACAAATTACAAAATTCCCAATATTGAAACTCTTAATACTCATGCTTCCAGCTGGGAACATCCCCTTTACCTAATAAAGGGGCTGGGAGGACTAAGAAAGAGCTTTTATCCATATAAAAAAAGATGGGGCAACACCATTTCTCAAGCAGATCATCTTGTTTTGCAAGATTCCTCGTTATTGTGTCATGCTATATTAGCTGGCTAGCCTACATTTTGATTAGTGTGTTGCCTTATTGAATTCCACTTTCAGGAATTCCTCTTCTAGGCCCAGAACAAGCCTTGTAACCCTCCTCCTCTCACGTATGCATGCCTTACACACACACACACAAGTTTTTTGCAAGGCAATCATTTAATTGACAGTAGAGGTCTGGATCAGCAGAAAACCACACACAAGATATAAAATGGAAAAAGAAAATCAAATTCTACCTCTCCAAGTGGGATAAGAACATCACAGCAGCCACTTTCTTTGCTGGTGAAGCAGATATAGCTGTCTGAAGCATACATCCTTCCTGCTGTGTGACAGCGACTAAATGGAGTCCACAGAGAACAGTCCAAAACTTCATGTACCATCTCCTTCCTTGGCAGCCTGAAGAAGGCCCGGAAAAACTCATTCTGTGCTCTGGCTTCCAGATCCCTTTTAATAGAAGCAGGAGTTAGGAGCAGGAGAGACATAACAGGAAATTAAAATTTAAAAAAAGCTTGAATCCAAACATCAAAGCTTTGAGTCCAGATGCAATTATCTACAAAAAAAAAAAAAAAAAATCACCAAGAATATATAATGTGGAATCAGGGTGCCGCATGCAGCAAGCTTTGTTGCTACCCACATCCTTTAATACACATGGCTGTAGGGATTATGAATGTCTAAGCACAGAATAACTTATCAGCACTTAAGCACTTGATCATTAAAGGAAAAAGCAAGGTTCCTACCTAAAAAGGGAGAGAATACAAATAAATGTATGTTGTCTCTTCACTGCCAAAACCTATGGCAGGCTAGGAGTTAAACTGGAGATCTATAACCTTGGTGCAGGGGAGAAGGGGGCAGAGGCTTTGTAGCAGTGGTTCCTGCTACTGTTGGGTTCAGCAATTGTTTGGCAGTCCCAGAAGACAACCAAGGAGGCTTTTAGTTTTAGTAACCATCCTTTTCTCTTCCCCTTCTCAGGAAAGCAGGAAGTTGATGAGGATTTTTTATTTTGACAATTTGGGGGTCCTGAATTCCCCAGCAATATAAGCAGCTTTCCACTGCCAAGTCTAGATACCTGCACCTGGATCCAAAAAGGATTGATGCGCACATTAGCCTGATACTTCTGCTACAGAGAACAGCAGCAAAACAGTTATCTAAAAATGACACTGAAAGTGTCATCAGTAAGCTTCAGAGTTAACAGCCATTGAGATGAGTCAGAGAATGTGAACACCACTTGCAGATGTGGGTTGCCGTTCAGCTAGGGTTTGAAAGGCTCCCCTCTCCCCATCCCCACCTTCCTCCCACAACTGGAGAGCATGTATACACAAACAAAGTCAAAAATACTTTTTAAAAATATGAACAGTAAGTTTCTGAACCTTAGTTACGCAGAAGATTTTCAAATGAACCATTCCACAGCAGCTCCTATAACCATACAACATATGTCCTTATCTACAGGGTCCTGGTTATTACACCGCATATGATAGCTCCAGTGAGGCAAAGCCCCAAAACTGAAGGTTTCCAAAAGAACAGACAAAATTCATGCTTATTTATTAGTATTAAGCTGTTGGAGGTTAAGTTCTATGATCCTCTTTACAAGGTGGGTTTTCCTGGCACAGCTCACCTTAGGGCAACAGGGAAGACAGAAAGAATGCAAAACGTGGGCTGCATGGAGGGAGTGGCTCCCACTACTGTGCACTGGCAAAGCAAGAAGCAGCAAAGCAAAAAAGACCCTTCTGACCAGGTTATTTAGGTGTAAAAAGGCGACACAGCGTGCTGTCTCGCAATAAATGAGGCAAGTCCCTTTCATTTGCTGATCTAAGGCAGGAAAGTAAAGATGTAGAGTATTTGTCCCAGATCTCGGATTGATGTGTGGGGAAGAGGTTTCATGCAGCTATTTAAGGCTTGCCTGTGAAAAAGTGAAGCTGTGTGATATGAGGAGAGAGGAACCTGAGAATAAAACTGGGAGAAAAGGGGAAGGGAGGCTCTCTAGCTAACACAGAAAAGACAGAATACACTTGACCAGCATTTTTGATCTATTATCTTCATTCCTCAGGTTATCCAAGGAAAACGGTTATCCAAACAGTTATCCAGGTAATCCAAAAAGGCTCCGATTGATTAAAAAAAAAAAAAAAAACAGGGGAACATTTTTTTTTTTTTTTTTTTATAGAGGAAGACAAAGGTTAGTTTGAGATCAAAATTTCCACAGGCAAAGAAACTCTGATAAGTGCATGCAGTGATCTGCTATTGTGACGAGGCTGGATCAGGATATGCCTCTCAGTTAGCTCAGCACAAAAATATTTTCCATTTCGGCACAGCACAGATGAATGCTAGCGATAGCCTCGGCAGCCAGGTCTGTGTAAGGCCATGTTTTCTCCTAGTTCCTATGCCGAGAAGGTAAGTGACCCACTGACGCTATCAGTTCTGCATCTTCCAAACCTGGAGATTAAAAATAAGGATTGTATATAGTGGAATGGCAGCTTTGCTATAGTTATGGTAGAAGGTTGCTTGCTAGTAAAAAGTGCTCCAAAAGTCTACACATTGACTCCAAGTGTTTTGGAAGTCTTTGCACCTCCTCAGGATGCAGGGTCAGGTCAGTGGCCCAGATTTATGGTCCTTTGGGCAAGGGGTTCCTTTGCCTCAGTTTCCTGCTCCCTCCAGGGTAATTCCAGCTGGTACATGTCCAAAACAACATCTCTAAAAAGAACAATACGTACACATACAACGAAACTTGGCTCCGGTGAAACAAGAGAGTTTCCAGTGTTCGCATGCAGTTGAAGTCGGGGCTATTTCACCCTTCTCTAAGCCCCTTATTCTGCAAATAGCTGCATGGAACCTCCTCCCCACACATCAATCCCAGATCTGGGACAAGGACAAGGACTCTACACCCCAGATCCGGGACAAGGACTCTACTGTCCAGTGCCACTCTACGTATGCCTCAGATCAGCATATGAACCCCTCAGAGCCCTGCTACTTCCTTATGTCCTCCATTCACACCAGTGCCAGAGGAAGCTAGAGCTGGGATAGTAGGTTTGGGGTTATAACAGTAAGAGTATAAGGGCAGTCAGAGTAATAGTCACACTGAAGGGAATAGTTGATCCGTATAGGAGTGGTGCTGGACCCAAGCAGTTGGAAAAAAAAACCATAGGAGGGTATGTTAGAGAAGTGTAGGGAGAAGCAAGGTAGAAAGGAAGCGATCAGCATGGGGAGGGGGACAGTGGGGTTACAAGTGGGACCCAAGAGAAAACCAGCCTAAGACTTTCAGTCTATGTTTGTCATTGGGTATCAAAACACTGCTTTCCCCCAATTTGCCCTCCCTGCTAAATTAATGATGGAGGAAAACTGTGGCCACTAGCCTGAATATGGCTCAGTTGTGGTAAACACCTAATGAACAAAGTCAAAACAAGAAAATAAGCACACTTTCAGTAGTAGTTGGGTATAGTCATCTCTCTAACCCAGCTGGAGCTTCTGAATGTTATTTTGTGTGCATTTTCTCCCTCTTTCTAGTCAAGGAAAGATGTTTGTAGGAGAAAGGATGCTCAGTTATTCCCATTTTACAGATGGAGAAGACATGAAAAGGTGTTATTGTCTCTAGATTGCAAAGGAGATTTACAGTAAAGCTAAAAATTGACCCCAGATCTGTCCTGATTCCTGGCGCAGTGCTGTACAAAACTGAAGTTAAGCATGGAAATCCTCTATTATGTACATAGCTGAAGTTCAGTTGAAAACTTATACTAAAGTTAATGAGCACATGTGCACACATGGCATGCCCAATCAAGAAAGGAAAATAAATCTAGTGCATCTGAAGTGTCATAGAAGTTGCACAAATTAACAACAAAAAAAATCCTACTGCTGAGCCTGGTACCAGGCAAATATTGATCATTCTCACTGCAATCAGTTTCACTGAGATAAGAAAATATATGTTTGGATCCTTCTAAGCTACTGGATGTCTGGCTAGAGTTTTGTTACTGTAGAGGAAGGGCAGTAATTTAAGTAAAGAGACATGACCACAGAGAGATGCTAGGCATCTCAACCAAAAAAGGTCCTAAAGCATTTTGAAATCTTTTGTCATAGTCCCCTAGCTCCGTATCCATGCCCCTCTCTCAGCTTAGAAGTTCTTTCCACTTTAAAGCCAATTTAGACAAATGGCTTTCCTCATGGCATGACAACAAGCAGTGCAACACCAAAAAAAAATCCATTAATGGAGAAAGTTGGTACACATTAGCCGCCCAGAACTGGGGAAGGAGGCCAATTTTAACATGATTGCAACTGCCTATCCCGAATGACTCAGAAAACAGGATCAGAGAGTGGTGCCAAAGGAGACCACACCTTATCCACTACTGCTGTAAAGAAAAGTGCCGAGACAGAAGCCAGCTTTGGAGAATGTGGAATCCAGGAAATGATCAGAAAGAGTGGAAACACAAGAATGAAAGACTGTCAGTATTCAAGAATTTGGGCCCAGCTGCAAAGAGTCAGAAGCTGCACTAACGGACAGCATTTCTTTTCAGGTGGATGAATTCTATACAACTACCACACAACAAGCCATCCCTTCATAAGGGTATCCACATTAAACTGCAACATGTAAGATGTGCACGGTACTTTAAGATAAGGTGTAATACAAAGTCAGCTCCTGAAATGGGACAGTAACCTGCTATATGGTACAAACAGAAGTGAGTCCACAGCATTAGCTATCTCAAAGTTGCTCAGTAATGATCCCATTACCACTGGTAAGAGGTTAAAATGATTCAGACTGGAAGGGGACCCAAACTGAAATGTTCAAGTGTGCACTGAAGATCCTCCACTTCCCCGGTGGCTTTCTAATGTCATGGGCTAGCCTGCTGAGTCTTCTGACCTCATGCAAGCCATCCCAGTTCTGCCCAGTGTTCCCACTTTTATCAAATGCTACCTTTTCTCACAAAAGCACTTGCACATTACTGGAGTCCAGGATCCTCTTCGATTTGAGCATAGCAAGTCAACTACCAAGGCTGAAATGTAATAGCTCCTACTATGCACCTTAAAATCTACCTTCTAAAAGGGTTTTATTTAAACAATGCACATACGAGAGACAAAATAATGGCTAATAGTATCTGAATACTTCAGATTGAGTCATCGCTGCCAAATATATGTTTCCTTTATTTTATACCCCAAAATAAAAGTCATCTTGGCTAAATCTCAGATTTGTTGAATCACGGGCTATTCACAAAGCACGAATGCAGCTACAGATACGAATAGAGCCAGTGTTCTGTGCGTAGATATCGAAAAGTTATGCGGGATTTTTCCCTGAACAAGATATCCCCACCTTTCCCTCTTGCCTCCCCCAAGTCAAGTGCTGAAACCTTAAGAGATCTCTTAAAAGAATGAAACACAGTACTATATTATATCTAGCTATTAGTGTTTCATGCAATACAGGAACATCAAGTCCTTCTGACCACATGGATTTTATGGGTATAAATTGGAAAATACAACTGAATGATTGTTGTTTTCCTTTCTGAAGAAATGATATGGACTCAAGTGATACGTGACATGGATTTTTAGGTGTGTGTTATCTTTCACTGGACCAGTTTGGGATAGTTTTAGACACGGTTTTGAAATGCAGAGCATATTTCCTGGACCGTCATGACTAAGTCACCCCAACACTACCACATTTGTGGTGTAAACTAATTCAAACAGTTTCCGTTCAGCTTGCAGTGTTAAAAAAGTGTTAAAGAATTGTTACTATCACAAAACATTTTGCTTCAAGTACTCTGGATTGGCAACTCATAATTTACACCTTAAGAAAGACTTCAAGGCAGTTATGGCCCTTAGAAACATCTTCTCCCAGTGCACCATAATGTCCTGTGAGCACTCAATACCATTTCTGCTCAGGCTATTTCTCCAATTAAGACTTGTGCTAGATGCATCATGAAAGAAACAGAAATAGAAAGCTAAAAAAAGTAGTAACTAGAATTTGTTTTCTCTCTCTCTCTCTCTCTCTTAAAAGAGGTGTCCTAGGTGCCAATGCAACTCATGACACTTCAGTATCTGCGGTTATCAAGTGCCACAGCTTCACTTTGCTTTCCAGAGCAATTAAATAGCTACTAATCCCTCTGTGACCCACTGATATATATGTTATCCTTTCATAAATCAAAATGAAAATGTAGTTTGACACTTAGCCATAATATTACTTGGGTCATATATTCTAGGCCTACTTCTGCAACCACTTGGTCTGCCAAAAATTGCAGAACTACTACAGAAGTAAAAAGGTAGAGAGCTGGACTTTTTCTCAGTGTGATGACAACAGGAAGCTCTTGAACACCAGCTATAATTAAAAAGTTTCTGTTTTCAGAGCACAAAAGACGGGCTATTAAGATCTTCTACACAAATGCTCCCTCCTTTCAGAAAAATATGTACCAGTATACCTTTTTTTGGTAAGAAAAAGGGAATGAACACAAAACAACATAGCTTGTAACATCACATCCAACAAAACAAGTGTTAAAAAGGAAAGTCTAATTTGAGGTGGCAGTTGTTTTCTTGGGTTTGTTTGTTTTTTTACAATATATGCCTGATACCTAAGATATATGGTCTACTATTTTCTTCCAAAACAGGCATATGAATTTCAAGGACAGAACAAAGGAGAGGGGAAAAAAAATCAAGTGAAAACTGGTATTTCCTGAACTGTTACAACAATTCAAAAAATAAGTTTCAACCTAAATATCACATTAGCATTAGCACATTTATCCACTGTTCAGTCTTGCTGAATCATACTGCGAAGATGTTACCGAACTGTTACAAAGGGCACAAAACTGCAACCTACTCAGTCACTGTGTAGTTTAAATGTGCAGGAAATGGGATTTCAAAATTTGCAATATTTTCCTGTCTGGTCAGGATCTCAAGTTGCAATGCATCAGCATGATTACAGAATGAGAATGTCAGCGTAAGGAACTCTCCTACAAATGTATTTTAATTTTGCTTTCTGTTTCAAAAACCGGTAGGTAAGGGGAGAGGGGGAAAACACACCTCCATAAAGGTGTGGGATTATTTGTGCTTCTGTTGTTGATTCATTAGTACACACATTGCTTCTCAAAAGTGCCTCAAGGACAATTTCAGATCGATTCTTCTGAAAGCCCACCCATGACAATATTTCAGAAGATTCACATACTGTATTAAATTTATATTTACATCTAGGTGTTTTTCCCCCTGCAGCCTGTTTCAATTAATATTTTTAAAGCAAAGAATCTTTGGGGAAGGGAAAAAGGCAGAATTAAGAGATACATTTATGTGCTTCTCAAAAGAAAAAATGCCCCTTGTGCAAATTTGTCATATAACCCCTGCGCAGTTTATTTCAAAACTCTTTCAGTCCGAAGAGTTGTTGGAAAGACATAGTGGTTGAAGAAGAAAACAAAGAAGGGGAGAGGGGTTGACAGAAATAACTGATTCCTTAGTCAGAGCACATACATTAAATTACCAAGGGGAAAAAAAAATCTTTTAGGCCTACAACCACAAAAAATATCTGTTTAAGCACTTTTTAACACTCTTCCTCATGTTCTTGTTTTAAAAAAAAGCTCTGGCATCACTAAAAAAAAAGTTCTAAGTGTTGCAGCGTATTGCTTGTATCAGCTTACAGACTGCAGAAAATCTATTTTAGTGATATATTGGACCAGGATTTCACTCAGCGAGTTGAAATAAATGCCAAGGAATAGTGGGTACAAGAACACCAATTACTAATGGAGTTTATATAGCACATTTCCTGGGTTTTGGAATGAAGAACGTTTATTCAGTAAAATTGCAGAAACACCCTCCGAGACTGATTAATAAAGGAAAGCAGTTACTGTGCACCTGTATTATTGTCAGCAAAACCTCCTCCTCTCAACCTGAAGCCATGCACAAATTATTCACTTGAGTGGCATGAGGAATGCAAGAGGGCATATAGTTTTGCTGCCAGATCAAAAGAATTGCATTTATATATAGTCTTTAGATCTGACCCTGGAATGACCCACAAAGTAGCTGCAGGCCTGCATAGCTGTCTTTACACCGTCTCGAGGGAGGCAAAAGGAGCTGTCGAGATTGAGAAACAGTGGAAAAGCTGCATTCACATTCCACTCATCCACAAAGCATGTTACACCAGTGTCAACACTGGTGCCCTAGGCAAATCCCATATTTAGCCATTACATGCTGCCCACCTAAAATTCCTTCTGCAGTTTCACTTCCTCCTCAAAAAACACCAGAAAATCAAAGCGTCTTGTGTAGCATTACTGGGACAGAATGATATTGATCCCCCCCCCCAACATAGATTCAACTGCATTTCAGTAGTGAGGAAGGAATCAATGTGCAATAAAATATTACCCACAAAAATCCTTGCCTCTCACATACAGTTTATGCATTTGAAGGTTGTCTGAAATAGAAGCTACTGTGCAGTACTGACAACACTCTGCTACTCTCCCATCAGGGTCTGTTTTGATCCCAGAACTCCTCCCTTAATTCAGTAATAGCGACTATAGCATGGGGACTTTCCACGTGTCAGAAGTGCAAGACAATATGATTACGAGCAATAGTTCTCTCGACTCATCAGCACTTGGAAACTACACACAGAACTAAGAATAACACAAAAGACTGCTTCCACTGAAGGAAAGTGAAATTGTCTCTTATTGGAATTTACCTTTAAACAATGAACGGTACTTTTAAAAGGAAATAAACAGCATGTGCTTCAGGAAAGTACAAACATTAGCTGTGTGACCTGCACACACCATTCCCAATAGGGTGCATGCAAGTTGAAATGTCTATTTTATCAACTCCCATAGATTATGATTAGTTGTGTTTTCTCAAAATAACTTCATTTAAATTTTACCAAGCTTATGAAGCAAAAGCAGTACTACAAAATGCAAAGTCCACTACTATAATTCTACTAGCAGAAGCAGAAACAATTTTATTTTTTACCTCTTTGTAATTTGAGTAGGATCCTGGAGGCCTGGATCCAGTTCAAAGATTTCATTATCAAGTAGTCTTCGGAGCGTTACATCTGCCAGCTGCTCCATTATCCTGAATGCCTCATCAATATTAAGAAACAGAGAGAAGTCACGTTCTTTGCTTGGAGTGGTGATACGAATGATATCAGTCATGATGACATTGGAGGTTCTTTCCAGCTTCTGGACATCAACCCAGGGAATTATAAGTTTTACTGCCGTTTAAGAAAGAACAAAAACCTCTGAGGAACAGAGTTTAAACTTCTTCCTGATTTCAGATACAAGCATTAACAGTCAGAACAGAAAATGTTAACAAGTTAAAAGGTCTGACCCATCCATATAAATAAAGTGCCTAATATGTACCTACTGCTTATTCTCTCATATACCAAACACAAAACTTCCCTCTCCCCTAAAACTTTTTTTATCATTCATGAAAGGTGACAGACCGATGAATCTTATCTCCACAAAATAAGCATCATAAGCTCTGCTCAAAGCTTCTGTAAAAAGGAGACTCTGTAGCCCTCTTTTTACTTCCCCTCTGCAGAAACAGCTAATATAAGAACTAAGCAAAAAAGATCCTTGGTTCATCTACCCTGCTGGAAGCAAGACTTTGAGGAAGGTGAAAAACTGACTGCCTTCTGTCCTGGACATTTTCAGGGAAACAGCAAGCTAGCTTGCTTCTATAATTGATGTTATTTGAGTAGAAACAGAAGTAAGCTGAGTGACCTTCCAATCCAATGTGGAAGTGGGAGTAACAGAGAAATTTAGCACCTCATATGCATGCTACAGAAGGTTCCTACTATCACATTCTCATGTAAATATTGACCCAATAGTTTGATGTGCATCAACAGTACAGCAGAAGTATCTTCTGCAGACTAAAAGCAATCAGGACTCATAGTAGAGATGATATCTTTATTAGACCACCAAGATTTAAAATAAATAAATAAAGACATCTTTAATTGAAGAATTTTTTTTGCAAAAATCTTGGTGGTCTAATAAAAGATATCATCTCTACTATGAGTCCTGATTGCCTTTCCCTCTAGACCAATATGGCTACAACCTGAATACCTTTTGAAGACACAGACTCTTTCACAAGTTCAAAAAAAAAAAAAAAAAAAAAAAAAGGTCACCAAATCAATATTAAAATTAAGCCTTAAGAATGATTCTAACTCCTGCAGAGACCATGTCTTCAGGAAATAGGCAATATAATAAAATATTCATGTAGGCGTCTCATTTGTCTAACTGAAGTGTAAATGCTGCACAAATACATAAATGGTTTCCACATGGAGGTATGGAAAGGGATGAACTCTCAATATAAATGTAATTCTGAAAAAAGTTAATTAGGCATATAAACCTTGCTATTTTGCTATTAAGTAAATTGCATAGCGTGGGGGGGGGTTTCCCCAGAAACATCACTAGCGTATCACAAAATCCATAAAGGGTTCAAGGAAAAACATATGGAAGTGTTCTTTATACCAAAACATTTTGTTAAGCCATGCAAGTCACGAGAAAGTAAAAAAGGATCAGTGTATGCTGGATGACCATGGAAGAATAGTATTTGTCTCTTCCAGGAAAGGCACAAGGCAATCATGCTGAAAAACACTTGAAAATAAATTAGATTTCCACTTGAGTTAACAACTACTGGAAGCTTACCCTGGAATCTCTTTGCCAAAAAATAGGGAGAATATGCCACCAATATTCTAGGCCAGTCCCTTTATGACAATAAAATCATAAAAAGGCAAGAACAGAAAACATTGCCTTGAATTCTTTTGTTATACAAGCCACGCTCGTGATTACTAATTATATTTAACAATACCCCAGCTGGGTTTTCTATAGTAATTCTAATCACAACCTTGTCAAGAATGATTCCATATCCTAACTATTCTTACTTAAATATAGCAAAACTATATAACCACACACAAATTAATGGCCAAAATATATTAGTTCTGCACAGGCAAGACAGTCAAGGAAGCCATGACTGACTATACAGGACTATAAATAGCACTATTCACAGAGAACTTAGGACCAGGTAGGTTTTTACTCCAAAGCAAAAGGGGAGCATACTGTTGTAAAAAGCCCCAAACCAGCAATGTGATATGATGCAGTATTTTCAATTTTAAAATATGAAAACTCAATTAAAAACTATGAAGGCAACTTGCCAGTATCCCTTTAAACAAATTAGAAATCCAAAAGGCTGGCATGCCTAAATATTTTGATACAGCTTCCTAATTCCATAAGGGCACTTAATGTTGAAATAGGCTCAAAGTACTGTACAGTCACCTAAAATTCCCCAAAGTCATAACAAGAAGTTAAGAGGGTTTTCTGGTCAGAACTGAGAGATGTAACATTCTTCCCATGGTTTAGTCCAGAGGATTAAATGGATTTCAACAGAATAAAATTAAAACATCTATAAAAGATTCACTTCCTCAGGTTTTATAATTCATAGCCTGCTCTTCTCCCAGCAGTTACATTTAATGAGGCAACAACTTATATCTACTGACATTATTTTATACAGTCACAAGACTCAACCAAGGCTACTTCGTGACTATTGGATGAAAACGAGCATAATTAATTCCTTGTTTTGTTTTAAAAACTGAGCAAAATTCTCAAATATAAGCTATGGTAGCTAAACCTGAACTACTCAGTATAGCTTGAACCATTGATTAACATGAAAAAAATAATTTCAAATTGTTTTGAATAGGTGTTAAAATCCGTAGAACGTTGAAGCTTTCTACAGCTACCCTGAGATTTGAGCGGTTTTACATGTTTTTAGGGCAGATCATTTTGTTTTTAGGGCAGATCAAATTATTTTGTAAATGCCACCATTAAGAATGGGTACAACTATTATTTCTGCATTAAACAAGCATTACCATTGAAGTTTAGGCTCAAGCTTAGAGAGGTCAAGCTTGGTTTCTGTTTTTTTTAAGTTAACCAAAATGGCTTGGTTTTTCATTTGCATTTCCAAGCACTCAGCCAACTAATTAATGAAAAGCTGTAGGATACCAGGCAGTGAAACCAACTATAAAAGTAAATGAGCAGTTTATTATCATTGCCCAAAACAGAAGTAATCACAAGTGTGAAATAAATTTGATTCTTTAATTCTGCATTTTAATAAAGTGTTTTAATGGTATTTTAAGGGTTTTTTTACTAGCTGAGTAACAGTAACTGTTAGGGGTTATTTCTTATTACACAATAGGACTTGATTATGTCTCTTCCCTTCACCCCTCTCCAGTATTACATAACTCAGGGCTGTCCACCTTCAGGGTGGCTGGAGGCCACAAGCCATACAGGCCACAGGCCCTGGGCCATGCCTATGCGGGATGTATGCTATGGGGGCCCGGGGGCCCGTAGTTGTGTGCAAACCCTGCCCCTGCTGCTACACAAGCAGCATGAGGATCCCTGCCACCACCACTGCCACATGAGTCTTCCCCCACCCTCCACTTTCCCCTTCATTGCTACAGTGCAGGCAATTCTCTCCCTGCCACCACTACCTGTATGAGCAACACAAATCCCCTGCCCAAGCCTCCCTGCTGCTGCAGCCATGGAGACTGTGACTTCACCAGGTCCCCCACTGCATTGCTTTGCCCCAGAGACTCCAACTACCATCGCAGCAGCAGCAGCTTTGTGAGAGGGCGATGGGATGGGCTCTGCACTGACCCTTCATGGGCTGCATGTGGCCTGTGGGTCCCCAGCTGAAGAGCCCTGATATAAATAAAGTTGTTGGCATAATATTAAGGAGTTTTTCTTTCTGCTTTGATTTGTAAGAATACAAATTGTTTCTTTCTGCAGCAGGTCTCATTAAACCTTAACTGAGGAAAACTATGGATAAAGAGAATCTTTTATCAAGGATCCCATCATGCAACGCCAGACAGAAAGCCGAGATATGTAAACAGACTGAGCTAACAATAGATCAGAATCTCTGCTTTACATTTCTTCCAAATCACATACAACTTTTGCATTAACAATGAATTCCAATTTCCATTTACTTCAAAACAGGAAATAAAAAAACCTCTAGGTGTTTTTTCTTCCTAGATATCACAAGTCTGTTTTATACATTAGTGCATTCTCTAGTTCAACTTCAGAACTGTAAATAAAATATTTTTAAAAGTGGCCACCTGGTCACAACTTGGCCCATAAACAATAAAAACCTTCAGAGGTATTAGAATGTAACTGACGATTTCTTAGTTGCGTTTTGCTATTAGTACTGGAGAGGTAGTGGGATTTACAGGAGTTGCTACAAAGCCATTTAAGGGCATAACCCCCACGCCTGCAAAGAAAAGCTATGTAGTCAAATGGGTGGATTTCGATTATACTTTCCAACTTCTGGGCTAGTTATGATAGGGACCTCAGATGAACACTCCCCTGGGACTTTAATGGAAACAGAGGACCATATCTTTTGTACTGGTTTCTTATCAATAATTTTCTTAAACAAATTTCTCAACCATGTGAAAAATATAGAGGTGAAAAGTTTAGAGAGGCTTGCTTAGAACTATGATTCCAAAACCCGAAAGGCTCCTGTACAAATACTGTCCCTTTTTAATTTGAAAATACCAATTTGCACCTTTCACCCCTCCACATGAAGCACCAGACATAACTTTAGGTTTATTACTTTATTGTCAAGCCACAGCTGAAGTAGCACACTTCTAGAAAAAGGGTTCCATAGTCAACTTACATTCCTTTGTGTGCGTGCCTGTGTACTAACTGGAGTTGTACAAACAGTGGCTATTATTGTGTATGAATATACGTAGGAAGGGCTGTTTCTAAGTGCCCACATTCTGCATTAAAAATAGGTGTTAAAATCTGTAGCATGTTGAAGCTTTCTACGGCTACCCTGAGATTTGAGCTGTTTTACATGTTTTTAGGGCAGATCATTTTCCAGCCATTCATCACATGAATGTCGCCAAAGGCCACTCCACATTTGGAAAAAAGTAAAACTTCAAGCAACTGTGTTTACACACGCTTACAGAAAGCTTTCATACTTAGAAAGTTCCAGGTGAACATGAAATGAATAATGAAGTGACAACTAAACTCAAATCGAGTTTGTTTCATACCAGCAAACAAACAAAAGGTCAGAATGATAAAGCTGTAAAACAGAATAAGTAGTAAATATATCAACTTAAAAAAAAAATCTAGTTGTACGTAACTTCACAAGTCTATTTGGGGCCAACAGTTCTTACATGTGCACACTTACATTCTTTTCCCAGGAAGAAAGAATAAAAACAGAGGTGATTGATGCTCAAATACAGCCAGCCTTGGCGAGGAACTTTGCCCTTCCAGCAGCAGCATGAATAATAGGTAATCAACTTCTCTGCTTCAGGGAAGTTAAACCTGGCTTCAAATTTCACTAATGCTTCTCGGAACTTCTCAGGCTCCTCCTCCAGCTCTGCTAGTTTGCTGCTGGTTGTCTCTGCTATCAGCCCCTGATTCAATCACAAGATAAATGATTACGATAAACCTGGAACATCCACAGCCAAACTAGTTACCAGTACATTTTTTAAATCTCAGGTTTCTCTTGCAAAGGTATTTATGTTGACTTGCGGGTTATGCCTTTACTCAGTTTTCATACCTTCTTTACCTACATATTCCCCCTGCTTTACCTGCCACAGGTTAGGGTGTTGTCTTGTGTTATGTCAGGGTTGGTGGTAGTTTTACAAAGAGGTTAGATTATGGATTTTATAGGAAAGTTTGGAAAGGGATGATCCTGCCTCAGGCATGGGGTTGGACTAGATGACCTATGGCGGTCCCTTCCAGCCCTACTTCTGACTCTGTGATTCAATCCTAGACTTACATTTGGCCCATGATTGAAGCATGTTTCAAGTATTTCAGTTTACAGCCAATCAGAACTTGTGTTGATCACTGCAACTCTTTGAAATAAACTATGTATTGTAAAACATACTTAAAATGGTATAACATTTCTACCATTCTGCTGCAGTCAAAACTGCTCTACAAGCTTTCATTCAGTTCACACAGCCATGCCAGGATATACCAGTAATTTTCAGATTAATTGGCACTATTATTTTCCTACCTAGAAGCAATGAAGTGAACCTATATAACTTGTAATAAGTTTTAAACTGAACCTTTTTTAATAAAGGATTGAAGCACATCTATAACAAATTAAGTGCCACGACTTCCTTACAGCTCTATAACATACAAGAGAAAAAAATTCATTGAAAACTGCAGTGTTTCAGTAGTTCCAAACTGTACTTTATAGAACATGAAATATTTTGCATTTAGTAAACGATCACATATGCCACATGTCTGCAGCAGAGGCAACAGTTGTTGGAGAAATAAAATTCTGGGCCCATTATTAATAATGAAACCGGCAAAACTCTAGATGCATTGCTCTCCTCAGTTCCACGGCCACTGAATTTTTAAGAAATAAGTCTTATTCACTTTCACTGCACTTTAACACAAACTATGTACAGAAGAACAGAACAACTGACAGAAATAGGGAGCCAGGCACACACAGGAGACCATACAAGCTATACAACCATTTTTATTTTCAAGCTGGAGAAACAGGATGGCAGAAGTGTTTTTCCCCACCAAGACAGTAGGCATCTAGCCATGTGGCTGAGACTACACGTACATACTTCCCAACTCTTCCAAGTCTTGGATGACAAATGAAAAAGACAAACAACATGTGGTGATATGGGAACCTGGAGTACAAAAAATATGGCCATTTCAAGACAAATTTTACCCAAAATGAACATGGTTGTTAGGCCAGCTTGTTTTACCAAACACAGTGTCTAGTTGGGCAAAATCAAAGGTGCACGAGAACAATTAATAAACAGGTGCATTGCATCAGTAATTATTAATACATTACCAGAGTCGTTTCTACCAGGTCAAGAAGTAGTGGGGAGGGGAAGGGCAGAAGCAAGACAATATTTCTTACCTTGATTTTCCCTTTGACAAAACTAACAATGTCTTCTTTATTGTCAAAAACAGGCAAAGTGTGGAGTAAGTTTTGCTCTAGCCATTCCCAGTGTTGATTTATCTCTTCTGGAGTGGCACCTAGAAAGACAAAAGAAAACTTGATTAAAAACCATGTTGTAAAAGAAAACATTTCTAAATAAAGAAAAAAAAAAAATCACCATTCACATTCACAAATGTATTAACAGAAATTGAGATTCTGAAGTCCAAATTATTAGTAGCAAAGCAGCTGCTAAGATGTTACATTGAATGCTGGAGTTAGAGAATACAAAAGTGTTACTGCTTTAAATATGTATTATAGTGTTTTTAGTTTTTAAGATCTCATTACAAGTCAAATGCTGCTTTGAAAAAAATCACAACACAATAATGAATCTTCTTGGCAAAATTTTGCCTTGATATTTCTTAAAGAAGTAATTAAATTCTGATTTAGGGTCATTCTCCATAGTCCCTGCTAACCATTTCTCCATGTGTCTTGAATTTGGTATCTCACCTGTAAAGCTTCTGTGATATTCAGCTTCTCTGAGAACAAAGGGGTTCCTTGTTTGTCTGAGTGCTGTGTATGCAACTAGCTTACATGGAAGAGGTTGTGCAATTTTTGGGACAGGTAAAATGAATTTAAAGATGAAAAGCTTTGAAATTTGATAGGATTTCTTTAAGGACTATATTTAAATGTAATGTGTTTACTCTAACTCCAAAAATATAATTTTAGTAATTGAAAGCTTGCTCATTAAATCTTCAGTGTCCTACATGTCAGCAGGCATGTGTCACAAAGATATGAGAACAGAAAAAGCCAGTACAAGAAAGAGGCAAAACAAAGAACAACATTACTAAAAGAGAAGCTGGCCATCCCATTACAAGACAACTTGGACTAATCAGTCATTGAATAGAAGAGTTTAAAAAAAGGCAGTAAGTACTATTTCCAGTGCCTCACTTGTAGGGACAAGGGGATAATAAAATTAAAAAAAGGATGGCCAAAGCATAAAAAGAAACTGCAAAACAAAAGGAAGTTCAAACACAAATGTCATCATCACATACCCAGAGTTACGTGAAAGTTATAATTGCAACATATTGCTTTACACACCGAGATGATAAATTTAGTTAAGTATTTTCCACCTTCCTCTCCTAGATTTCCCACAAAGAATGCCAACTGGCAGGGAAATTTTCCAAAACTTTAACTTCCCTAACAGGAAAGTCTTATGATGGGACTTCATAAATATCATCAATCAAGGCAAAAAAAAAAAAAAAAAGATTCACCAAGAAAGAAGAGCTATTTCAACAGCTTTTAAGGAAAAAAAAAAAAAGGCCTCTTGTGGGTGATATCTTTTATTGTACCAACTGCAATACGGTTGGGATAGACATAGGCAAGCTTTCAGGCATCACAGTACCCTTCCTCAGGTCTCTGGAAGAGAAGCAGACACAGGCGAGCTAAACAGCAGATGGAACAAAAGCCTGTGTAAAACTTTCCCTATGTAAATAAAAACAGGATATAAGAGAAATTATCAGGTAGCCAACAGGCTGGAGAGATGCAGTAAAAACCTGATAAAGGAAGAAAATAAGATTGTTCAGGAGGGTCTTGAAGAGCAGAGGTTAGTCAGTATCAGGTAAATTATAATCAGGGATCCTGGTTTTCTTCGATAAAAAAGAATCCCCAATTTTCAGATTTAAAAAAGTAACTCAACGTCTACATTTTTCTGTGTTTAAAAAATGGAAAAACGAATTAAAACTACACCAGCAAACCTGCACTATACCTGTCTTACATAAATTACATTTCATCATCTGGACTGATCACCTGGATTCACTTAAAATTGTCATAGAAGTCAATAACTACCATTCTTCAATCAAATTCTCTCTGAAATTAAATTAATTACTCCTACACCAACATCACCACAATCCACATCCCAGAGGACATGCTACAAAACACGATATACAGAGAACCCATTGACCCAGCTCTGCCTTAACAATAAATACAATAAAAGATATCACCCACAGCAATTCTTGCCTCTCACATTTCCTGGACCATCAAGGCAACATTATCACCTCACCTCAACACTAATTTAGGACAAAAAAATCCCAAGTGCTATCAATTGTTAAAAATACTAGAAATGTTGTCATATTATAATGACGTAGCCCACATGAAACAAATAATAAACTAAATAAAGTGATAGTGAAGACAGGCGAGGAGTGCATCTTGCTGCCTGACTTCCCTGTTGTGGGTTTGTTTGGAGTAAAAGATTGTCTGCCATAAGGTGTTTCATGGTAATTTTCAAGTTGTTGCCAATACCAAAAATCTTGTCCTCTCCCACCTGGATCTGCACTGTATGGGGCATCCCTGCCCTCTCCCACCCTCTAGCCAGTTTGAGATGCATACTGCATGCAGCCCAGTCCCAGTCCAGGTTGGCAGGCTGGGGAGAGGGGGGACCACATGCAAAGCAGGTCCCACAGAGGCTGCTGAATGTGCTGGATTTGGCTTAAGAGGTGGAGCAGGGGCTAAGTGAGTTTGACACCCTCGCTATTATTGCATCTATATTAGTGGTTACTGCCAGGGATCACACCTATTGAAAGCCTTAGGGTCACACCCAACACCAAGTTTGGTGACAGAAAGGATTTTTTCCCCCTAGGTCAGACTGACTTGGACTGGGCAGGGTTCTTGCTCAGTAGCACAGGGCATGATCCTTTTTCTAGGATTGTCTAAACATGTACTAAACCACTTACTTCCCTGTTGTTACAATGGCGATGCCTTCATCTGCCCTGCTTCTTTACACCAAGTCACAAGTATTCCAGGTATTTCAGGTATTGTGCCTTGTAGTTGAGCTTGAGGCTCTGACGTGGCGATTGTGAGAATTCTTGATTCATGACTTGTCTGAGAACGCAGGGGCTGAACAAAGCTATTTGGGCAGGAGTCTGCAACTGGCACAAGCTACTATTTAAGCCTACATCCCTTCCATCAGAGCATTATTAGCAATAACTAGCCAGCAAACATACGGAAAACACAAAGTGACTTCTTTCCAAGGAGTAGGGTGGGTAAAAATCAACGATTTTTTAATGTAAATCAGATGTTTTTATTTAAATTATAATTAAGTTTTCCTTTTTAAAAGTAAACCAGCTTCAAAATTAAATTGTAATGCAATTCAGCATAAGCTAAGGTATACATTTGCTATATTAAAATAATTTAAATAAATAATATGTTGAGACGATGAGCCTCTACTCAAAACTTTGGCGTTAAAGGCTGATTTTCTTCTATAGAAGCATGGGTGGGGAAACATTTTTTTTTTTCAGGTTGAGTTTTAAAAATATGTCACAGTATTTCATGAAATTTTACTTTTAAAAACTAGAAAGAAAGGAGATAAATGTTGTTAGCCTAGGTTAAAAAAAAAAAAAAAAGACTGTCTCATTTTAAAGAGAGTTAAGCAAGTAGGAACTTAAGCTTAAATTACTTTCACATAGGCATTTTAGAAAAAATTCCCCTTGGTGACCTGAATTAACTGGTTTAATTAACATACTACAGTTCATATTTCTAATACCATAACAATTAATAATTGTGTTTAATAAATTGCTTAATTGTAAACAAGAGGAGGATCAGGGGAAGCGTGGGTCCTTTACGAAGTAGCAGAGGCAACCTATAAGAGAGGATGCAGAAAAGGCTGAAGTACTCAATGCCTTTTTTACCTCCATGAGTTTTCACGGGCAAGGTCAGCTCTCAGACTATTGCACCTGACAGCACAGTTTGGGGAGGAGGTGAGCAGCCCCCAGTGGTAAAAGAACAGGTTAGGGACTACTTAGAAAAGCTGGACACGTATAAGTTCACAGGGCTGGAAGGGATGCACCCAAGGGTGCTGAGCGAGCTGGGCAATGTGATTGCAGAGCCACTGGCCATCATCTTTGAAAACTCATGGCAATTGGGAGAGGTCCCAGATGATTGGGCAAACATACTGCCCAAATTTAAGAAAGGGAAAAAGAAGGATCCAGGGAACTACAGACCAGTCAGCCTCACCTCAGTCCCTTGAAGAATCATGGAGCAGGTCTTCAAGGAACCCATTTCTAAGCACTTGGAGGAGAAGTAGGTGATTGGAAACAGTCAGCATGGATTCACCAAGGGCAAGTCATGCCTGACCAACCTGGTTGCCTTCTTTGAGATGATTGGCTTTTCAGATGCAGGAACACCAGTAGACATCATATACCTTGATTTTAGCACGGCTTTTTATACAGTCTTCCACAGCATTCTCACAAGCAAGTTAAGGAAGCACAGGTTGGATGAATGGACTGTAAGGTAGATAGAAAACTGACTGAATCATTGGGTTCAGAGGGTAGTAGTCAATGGCTCAATGCCTAGTTGGCAGCTGGTATCAAGTGGAGTGCCCCACCGGTTTGCCCTGAGGCCAATTTTGTTCAATATTTTCATCAACAACCTGGAAGACTGAATGGAGTACACCCTCAGCAAGTTTGCAGATGACACCAAGCTGGGTGGAATAGTAAATATGCTGGAAGGTAGGGCTAGGATTCAGAGAGACACCTCAACAAATTGGAGGATTGGACCAAAAGAAATCTCATTAGATTCAATAAAGACAAGTACAAAGTCCTTCACATAGGACAGAATAATGCCATGCTCCACTACAGGCTGGGGACCAACTGGCTAAGCAGCAGCCCAGCAGAAAAGGACTGGGGAATTACAGCGGACAATAAGCTGAATATGAGCCAACAGCAAGTCCTTGCTGCAAAGAAGACTAACGGCATACTGGACTGCATTAGTAGAAGCATTGCCAACAGATCGATGGAAGTGATTATTCCCCTCTATTCACCACTGGTGAGACTGCATCTGGAGTACTGTGTCCACTATTGAACCCCCACTACAGAAAGGATGTGGATAAATTGGAGAGAATCCAGTGGAGGGCAATGAAAGAGGTTGGGTTGCATGACTTACGAGAAGCAGAGGAAACTGGAATTATTTAGCCTTGAGTAGAGAAGACTGAGAGGAATATGATAGCAGCCTTCAACTACAGGAGAGGGGCTCCCAAGAGGATGGAGCAAGACTGATTAGTGGTGGCAGATAACAGAACAAGAAGCAATGGTCTCAAGTTGCAGCAAGGCAAGTTTAGGTTCAATATTAGGAAAAAGCCTCTCACTGGGAGGGAAGTAAAACACAAAAATGTTATCCAGAGGGGTTGTGAACTCCCCACCCTTACAGGCTTTTAAGACAAATCTTGGCTGGGATGAGATAGTTGGGGATGGTCCTGCTTTGAGCAGGGGGTTGGACTAGACGGCCTCCTGAGGTCCCTTCCAACCCTAACTTTCCAATTCTGATTCCATCAAATGTGCACCATATCCCAAGTTAAAAAAAAAAAAATGTTTTATATCCAAAATGTAAAAGTTTTGTTTAATAAATCTGAAATGCTGCTTTCATATGTTTAATTAAATTCAAGTTGCCATCTTAATGAGGCTTGATACAAATATGAACAAAGATGTATTCATCTGGTAAATGAGAAAAATTGTATTTTTTTTAATAATATATTTTTTAAATGTGTGCGTGTGTGTACACTCACCAAGGAAAGATATGTACCAAATCTACTGTAAAAACTGTATGTAGTTGTAAATCAACATGGTTTGTTATATCAACCAATAAAAATACACTTTCCTTAAATAACAGAAAAAAAATTATATATACACTCACACACACACACACACACACAAAATGGGAAAGTTGATTAAAATCAATGATTTAATTACGGCTTTTGGCTTACTGATTTAAATCATGCTTTAACCAGTTATTTATATCAACTGGATTTAAACTGATCTACCCTGCCGGGGGGCTGCTAAAAGATACAGAAGATGCTTGTCTGCATCCCCTTTCTTACTATAGCAAATGCCTGTAGTTCCTTTAAATCACCACAATGTCCCTCACAATGCTGCCACAGTTTCAACAGGGAACTCATGGCAGCCCCTCCAGTACCTCACCGGTACAAAGCGAAATTGAGAAGCCATCTGGCTTTGAGGTGGGACCGGGACGCTGCTATTCTGTACAGTTCCTGCATTGTGGGAACCTGAGGAGCAGAATGGCAGCAGTTCTTCACCACCCACCCCTTCCCAACCGTAAGTTCCAGTGTTAGTTTGTGGAGGAAGGGGGTTTAAAAACAAACTGATCCAAGGGAAGAAGTAGCTTGCAAAACCACAGCACCCTTCAAAAGAGAGGGTCAAGTTCTTATGTTTTTCTGCCTGCTGTTGCCAGTTCCAGTAGGAAAACCACTTCTTCCCCAATCTCTATTGGCGACATTTCATAATAAAAGAATTATTATTTAGAAGCAGCTTAAAGTACTATGGCTCTTATTGGCATTCAGAGCTTTTTGTTCGTGTAACCACAAAAATGTCTTGCTCGCACAGGGTAGATTAATGCACTATTAATCTACAATAGAAGAAAATTCTAAAAATCCTAACCAGCATTTAATTTTTCTACCTTGGACATCTGTTTAAAGGAGATGGGGGAAATATCAAGAACTTAAAATTACTTGTGTAATTAACTTAAGAAGTCTCTGAAATATCAAAGAGACTCAACCATTCTAGAGAGACAAGCTATACGGTTAGCAATCCCCTTCAAGTGAACGGAAAAAAAAGGCCACATACGCATGGCACATCACTCAGCTGCCTTCACCGACTGAAAGGCAGACAGTAATAATGATCAGCTCCAGCAAGGAATACATCCTACTGACCAAGGAACAAAAGCTTTCTTTGATGTCAACACTAAGTTTGCATCATCAACATCAAACTCAACTCATTCTCTTCAATATAAGTGCATTATTTTAAGAGCAAAAAATCCTTTCTTCATGAAGCAATACTCACTTCCATAATGTATAATTTTCTCTTTCAAGTAAAAAAAGGCAGGGAATAAAATGAACAGCAATTATGAAAATGAGGAAATACGAGCACCTAATCACAGCCAAAAATAATAATAATAATCAGAAGAGACTCTATGCAAGTTTCCTTGCACAGAGCTACTAATGTATATCAGCCGTGACCCATAACCCTTCACTCAAATATTATGTGTCTTCAAAACATATTATTTGGCATAGTACATTTCTTATATAGGCTTCCAACAGAACAGTAAGGGCACTTCCTTTAAGGAAAGAGAGCATAAATTGGCTTTTTTTTTAAATCTCAAGCAGCTGAAAACAGGAAGCAAGTGTAACCAATGCAGAGATACCTACCTGAATTTGTAGCAAAGGCCTGAACTGCCTTTTTGATTTCTACAAGTATTACATCAAATGTCTCCAATATTTTAATTGTCTGAAGGCAACTGAAGGCAAAGGAAAACATGTACAAAAGACAGACACAGCATTTTGCAGATGGAAGGGGTAACAGAGAATTTACAAATGCACTGATGAAGATGAGCAGGCATTAACATTTGACTGCTGTGACTTGCAATTGATTTATCTTCAGTAAACTTTCTTCACTTTCAAAAGTATGGGAAAGACTGCATTAAGGATTAGTGTAGGACCCATCAATGTACATCTTCAGAGTTCATTCACTGTATACGTTACCTAATGCTACAATTCTCTTTAAAATATTTAGTATTTTTAAAAATTGATTCATGAGCAGCCAAAAGGGTTAGGGAGATATTTTTCTAGTAAACCGCATGTCACTACTGCTTATATGCATTGATGAAGGACTGAGCAAAAAGACTTCAAGGTGCATTTATTACAGCCTGAAAAGTTGCGTGCAAATTGAATAATTACATTTTGCAACAGGCAAAAAAAAAACAAAAAACCTAATGCAAGGCAGCATCAAACTCTTCTTTTTCCCGATTAGCAAATGCAAACAATCCATTTTATTAATAATTCCTGGAATGGTAACCAACAGGTATTTTGATTGTTAAACATATACAGCCACAAGTCTTTACACACACACACACACACACACACACACACACACACACACAACGTTACTATTTTTGGTTACCTTCAGCTTCTTGGACATGCAGATACTGAGCATGCTCAGAATTTATCTTTGGCATTTTGTTTTGGTTGGCATGTGACTCACCAATGGCTATGGCCCAGTAAACTTCTGATCCATTCAATAACTCACCACATGCAATGGCAGAGTAAACAGGTGCTCCTGGAACTTGAAGTAAAATTCGAAATGGAGCAACACGTGCGTTAGAATCTAGCACTGCATCCAGGGCACCAACCAAACGACCTAAACACACAAAGAAGAAAGATGGCTTTGAATAACAAGAGAACCAACTTTTACTAAAACCAATTTATCACTATCAAAACACTCTAACTTTGCTACAAAGAGAGTGAAGAGTGAGCAAACCAATTAGAAAAAAAAAGACGTTATTTTTTGGCGTTTCTTGTGGGTTTATTAATATTATGATATAGCTAGCATAGAAATGTAGGGACCTCAGGATGTTATCTAATCCATCCCTGTACTCTAAGCCCAGGCACACATACCCAGACAATCCTTGATAGATGTTGTCTACCATGTTCTTAAAAAAGTCCAAGAAAGAGATGTCAAACCCCGTCAGGTAGTTTGTTCCACTGCTTTTTCAAACATACTGCTAAAATGTTTTTCTTAATATTTAACCAAAATCTTTCTTCTCTCTCCTATAAATTAGCCTCTTTGACCCACCTATAGTGGTCACAGAGAAGACCTGGTCTCTGTCCTTTCTATAGTAACTATATTGTTTATATCTATATTAGGGTACTACCGTGCCTCTCCTTAAAGGCTTATTTTCTAAAGCTTAATTACCTCAAACTTTTCTTATAAATAAATGATGTTTTCCAAATATTTTATCCCTCTAGTTGCTCTTTTCTGAACTCTTTCCAGTATGTCTACATACATATTTCTTAAAATGTATCATCACCATAACTGTTTACCATGCTTTATAAATAAGATTCCTGTTAATACACTTAGGAAAAAAAAAAAAAGGAAAATCTTATTCTAACAATAGCTTATTATTGACATCTATTTAGTCTGTGGTCCCCTAACCTCCCAGAATCTTTTGCTACATACTGCTGTCAAGTCCACTAATCCTCATTTAGCACTTGGCATTTGATTTCTCCATCCAAAGCGTGGTACTTTGCACTGGTCTTTAATAGACTTTATCTTACTGACTTTAGACCATTTCTCCAATTTGTCAAGATCATTTTGAACTGTGCTCCTTGTACTCCAAAGCACGTGCAACCTCTCCAGCTTGTGTTATCCACAAAATGTATAAAGTTACACTGTAGTTCATCACCAAGGTCACTATTAAAAATACTGATATCTGAAATGTCCTCCCATTTTACAGCAAACCATAAACCAATTGACAGGGCATGGCTTTTCAACAAGTTTTGCCCTCACTTCATGGTGATTTCATCCAGACCAATCGTTTTCAACTTTTCTCATTTGCAGATCCCTAAAAGATTTCTAATGGAGATGCAGACCCCTTTGAATTGTAAGTGTGAGCATTCACATACTTTTGATTGAGCATAGTCATCTTTCGCAGACCTGTTAGACAGTCTGAAGACCGCCAGAGGTCCACGGACCACAGGTTGAAAAACACTGATCTAGACTATTTATCCCTAGTTTCTCATAAGAACACCATAGGAGGAAAGTATCATAACCCTTTAAGGAAGTCAATATAGTTCACATCTGCCATTTCCCCCTTATGCCCACACACAGATGCAAATGTTAGAATACAAAAACAAACAAACAATTTAAAATGTCATTTTCTGTGTTCAAGATGGTAGTGTATAAAAACTGGCTAGCTGTTTAAACCGGAGTAATGAGTTGGCAGACAAAAATATAAACAAGGAAAGTGCCAAATTCTCCCTTATCATTATGGGTAAAAAAAACAAAAACAAAAAAAAACCCTCCAAATATAAAAAAAAATACACATTTATCTACGCCTACAGAAAATAGTGAGCATATGATATAAAATACAGTCTTTAAAACAGCACAGATAAAGCCAGTAGGAAATGCAGAGCAGAAGTATTGAAAAAGAAACTCAAGTAAAATATGAATTCCTCCATTCTACATAAAAAAGTTATAATTCTGTAAAATATCTTTAAATTCCTATTTCCTACTAATGACACTAAGATGCTGGCTACTCTACATGCCAGGATCTTATCACAGAGGATATGTAGGACAATAGCACAGTACAGAGCAACTTGAGACTTTCAAAATACTAAAGAGCAAGTGACCAAGAAAGTAAGAAGCCATTCAAAGGCTACTCTGTAGGGTCTTTTTCTAAGAAGAAACTTAATAGGAAAATTATCAAAAAACAGTTTTGACTACATAGGACTATGATCTTATTGAAGTTTTTGGCAAGAGTTAGGCCAATATCAAGTGCTTCTGAAAATCCGATTAAAATCTGCTTTCAGAAGTATGGTTATTCTTTAAATATAGATAAAAAGCACATATGCAGTGTGAAGCTAAGTTCAAGAAGAAGGATGTTTATTTTATTTCTCACTTCGAGAAAATGAATTCCCTTTTCTGTTTGTGAATTATGGTCTCAGCAGCCAATTCCTCTTTTCACTTTTTACTTCTCATAAAATTCCCTTCATGTTTATGAACTATAATGAGCTACAAAGTTTGTAGTTCAACACAATCATTGTGTAATAAAAAATAATTAATAAATAATCCTCCATCTGGATTTCTCTCTAATTAAAATGTTTCCAATTAAACACGGAAAAGCCACAACAAAGGATCTTAAAAAGAACAGGGAGGAAGAGGGTGATGGGGGCAGGGGTCACGTACAAACAAACCCCAATGATCACTAAGCGCAATGCATCTTTGATGCCTTTCTATTAGGCTAGTTTTCCATATTTGTAGGTAGTCTAATGGAACTCCCATTACTGTCTATGGAGCAGTCTCATTGATTTAAATGGGATTGGATTAGGCCCCTGATCTATTTTTTTTTTTTTTTTTAATTTGGAAGGGATTCACACTCTTCCTAGCTTTACAAGCGAAAACACTGTCTAGATTTCCAGTCTCAGATATCTACCTATGATTTCAGTACAGTGAGATAAAGGTGTCTTTGTAAAGCAGAGTGAGCAACCTACACAGCGCTTTGACTTGTATTTTGAATATATTTTTCTCCAGGCAAAAAAAAAAAATCCTACATTGTTGTGTATCCTGCAGCATGCTAGTATTTTCTGCTAGTAAAAACAAAGCAGTAATTTTGCTTGCTATGGCTTCATTACTGTACTTTCGAACCTCTATTTTTGGAGGTGCTTTCCCAACAGCCTAAGCTGAAACTTATAGGAACAAGGTCCAAAAACAGAATGTATTTGCTAGGCCTACAAAAGCTATACAATGTGAATCAAAATATTAACCAGTTCGGTGCACAAATAAAAAGGTTTAGCATTAAAGAAAGGATAAAACATTTGATGAAAAAGGTGTGAGTTTCCGAGTGCTGCTTGTATAATACCGGCTTCCAGCTCTGTTTAACACCTGTAACAACAGCTGCACAGTGCTTCCCGTTGAAGTAATCCATAAAACATGAAAACTAACAAGCTTTAAGGGATAATACTTGAATTTTAAAACTGCTTTCAAATAGAAAGTCTACTTTTTGACAGAGCAGCCTTTTAATAATACATCCTTATTTTCCCATAAAATATTTATAAAAAGTTTTCACAGCCCCCAGTTGATAATAAGGTTCATTTTAGCTAGGAAGACGCTGGATTATTATTATTATTTTATTTTTATTTTTTTACAAGGAACAGCAAAGCCATCTAAACAGAGGCCCATCAAAGGTACAATTATTAGGAAAACAGATATGCTACATTAACTTGTTTGTTATAGTAATCATTAGGTGTTACTTCTTACTGTGAACAGAACAACATTGGCAGGAGGGAAATATAAATAATACTGTCAAGCCCCTTTCTGTTTAATTGTAAAAGAAAAAGCTGTAGCCACACATTTTTCCAGGCCGACCTTGGAGTACGGTAGCCAATCAGCTCAGACTCTTCCATATGCAGAAGTCTTTTCATCGTGTTAAATTACAAACAGTGCTGAATTACAGAAGGGAGGTCCAAGCTCAGGGTTCATGTCAGAAAAAGTTGAGGGCAGGGTACATTTTTCCTCTACAGTGTCAATTTGTGCTCAATAACATGAGCGTTTTACGTATATTCTTATGGACATGAACAAAACACAGTTTGCTATTTCCCAATATATCCTGGATCTTAACTACAATACTTTCTGTTTCATTATCCTGTTTATAAACTGTACATTAGTGCGTATTTTCCACAATCCAAACTACTGCAAGTCAAACAACATTAAGTAGAACAAAAATAATCACAGACATTTTATTCTGAAATCCCTAGCATGGTGCTCACAGTGGCAGAAAGTACACACTATGACAAATAATAAAAATAAGTTTGCAAGAGACTCAGGAACTGTTTTTAAAGCCTGCAACAGTCAGGCAGTGCCTTTGTTTTTACACAGATCACAGTGGAAACCAATCAGCCTGGAAACAGCATATTACATAACTGCATGATTAGGTCTGTTTATTCAAATTAATTCCAGCCCTATGTACAACACAGCTGTGCAGCATCAATTAAAATAAAAAACGAGGACACCATACAGAGACTTTCTAGTTATTAAATAAACATGCAAACTCATCAGTGATCACCCAGCATTTGAGTTTAATGTATGAGACCCCAAAAGACGATAAAGTACAGCTTGTGAAGCTACCCGCTACTCTGAGTGCCACAACTCTAGAAAAAGAGCAGCTAGAGTAAGCTGACCTAACATCAATTTCTAAGTAACGTACTGAATTATTCAAACTCTCGGAAATGCAGATTTCTTTTCTGAATCCATGTGAACAACATGGGTGGTTTTAAACTTTAAGATGGGCAGGATTAAGAGCTTGCAGAAAGGTACATCCCCCTCCCATTTGGATTCACAGCCCAAAACCCAGTCCTGAAACAAGGCACACAAGAGGTCATTCTTTTAAAATGGGGTTGTCCAAACTGGGCTATATGCGAGCCATGAGCAGTTAATTCATGGCCAACCAGCTGCCCCTGCCCCCATACTGCCACCGCTGCTGTAACTGGGATCTCCAGGCTCCTGCTCCCTCCTCCAGCTCCCACTTCCTGCCCCACACCCTGGGGATAAAGCAACAGAGTATGGGACTCAGGGCCCACAGAGCAAGTGGACTTGGGTATATCATGGTTAGTGCAAGAGGGGGGGTTGCAGAAACTGCTGCC